AAGGGCACACTGAGGTCTTGGAGGTGGAAGGTCTGGAAGCGCCCAGCACATCCTGGAACCACCTCGGCCTGGTGTCAAACAGGACGCCGGGCTCCTAGTCCCCACTGCATGCCCTTGTCAGCGAGCCACCTGTGCGGGCTCTGGGCTTTGAGAGCACTCCTCACAAAGCAAAGTGCAAGTGACACCCGAGACACGCCCAGGCCTGAGAGGAGCCACTGAGGTGCCAGCCCCAAAGAGGTTTGTGCAGACCCTCGTGGCTGCTGCCACAGTCACACCCCCAGGGCCGTGGGTCCCAGACCAGCCGGGCCACAGCGGGACTCTTGTCCCAATTAGTAGGAGACCGAACCTCATGTGAACTGAGCAAAGCTTAAAGAGTCGCGCACTTTGAAGACAGGCCACTTACGCCACCTGGCTGGCAGATGGGTCATGGAGCCAGGGTAAGGACAGGAGGGTGGCGTGGGGATCGGCTGACATGGCAGAGGAGCAGAAGAGTCCAGGCGTGGACCCACTGCAGGTGGCCAATTGATTTCTACACAGGCGCAAGGGCAATTTGGTGACAAAAAGCTGGTCTTCTCAATAGACAGTGCCGGAACAACTGTACACCCATATGCAAAACACGCGTTTCAATTCATACCCTGTAATGAATAGAAAAGTTAGCTCAGGATGGATCACAGGTCTAAATATAAAAGCACGCTATAAATACGTAGAAGAAAACAGAACACCTTCGGGACCTTCGGTTATGCAAAAAAGGGGCGGGGCAAAAAGAAAACCTCTTAGACGATGAGAAAGAGAGAGAGAAAGCGAGGGAGAGAGAGGGAGGAGGGAGAGAGAAGCCTGATCCATGAAATTGAAAACTGCTGGCGCCAGCAGAGGGTGGGTGGTTAGGGTGCTGGACTCCCAGTGGGTCGAGTCCTGGACTCTGGCTTGAAACTCACACCAAGCATGTGTGTGTGCAATGCCCAAAGTCCCAAGAGGAGATGGAGGAGAAGGGATTGTGGCGTGGTCATCCTCCCGGTGGGGTGAGTTCTCACTTTCTAGCTCTCTGTTTCTCTCTGTCTGTCCAGTGAGTATACACACCCTATGGCAAAAAACCTCTTCAAAAAATAATTCAGAACAGCGTATTGGGTTTCCTCCAAATTATGAAGTTCTCCTTGAAACACACTTTTAGAGAATGGAAACACAGAGTACATTTTGTGAGAAGATACTTGTAAATCACTTGTATGAAAAGAATTACTCATGCCAGTACACAGAATTCTCCAAACTCAATATAACAACCCAAGAAGAAACACCAAAAATGAGAACATGCTCTTCACCAGTGACAACAAGCACTCTCTGCATGCCGTGTGCTCGGCACCACCAGTCGCTGGGGACCCGCAGACGCAGCCTCAGGCGGGGCCAGCACACGTGAGTGGGAAGAGTCGGTCTGGAGAGACCAGCCGCACCCCGTCTCGGCAAGGCAGGGAGCACCTGGGACTACCAGACCCTTCAGAAGGAAGGAGGGTGGGAGACAGGTCGTCAGTTTCCTGAAATTTAAATGTACCCCTTCCACATGGCCCAGCTGTCCGCCCTCGACGATTACCCAGAAGAAGCGAAAGCACGTGCCCGTGTAAGCACTTGCACACGATGTCCAGAGAAACTTCTTCTACAGTAACTGGAAACAACACAAACGTCAGGCTACAAGGGAGTGAATGAACGAATCACGGTACGTTCACATAGAGGCTCCCCTCCACGATCAGAGAAAGCCCTATTAATAAATGCATCAATATGGATGACCTCAGGATACTTAATACCGAACGAAGAAATCAGGCAGAAATAGAACACATGCTATAAAGCCTATTTGTAGAAAATGCGAACTAGCCGCTGGTGCCAGTGAGCGGGCCAGTGGGGACTAGGCGAGGAGCAGCCGGGGCCTGGGTGAGCTCTCGCGGGTGGGTCCGTTACTTGTGCGGGCAGAGCCCGCGGGTGTACAGACGGCACGCTGTGGACACGCGTTCTGCGGCACGCTGGTGTAGTCCTAATTCTACCTGTCTTGCTGTCCCCACACCCGCAGCTACTTCATCCACCGAAGTCTTGAACCCTTGAAGTCACCCACAGGGCGGGCGTGAACACCTTCCAGAGTTCTGGCAAAGCTGGGACTGTGACCTCCTCCACGAACTGTGAATGTTCTCAGCGGCATCTTTCCACAAAACGGTGAGTCCTTTCCAGAACATGCCCAGTTTACTCTGCTCAGCTCCGTCAGAGCAATCTACAGCTAGCGTCGCGCAGAATGTACCCCCCAGATAAAAGAACTTGGGGACAAAAGCAGCCCTTGGCTCCAAGGCATGCTGCGCTCGCAGGCCTGAGGCAACAGCCACGTCCTCGC